TGATTTGAGAATACTTTTTTTTTGGCTTAAATGAAACTCAGGAGACATCTCACAAATTTGGAGTGAGTATACAGCGTAGTTTATAGCGTAAGGATGATCAGCAATAGGCGCTTGAATTTCTCTCACTCTCTTAGCTGCCCAAAAGACCTTCCTTATTAATAGAGGAAGAAGCAAGTGCATGGTCATGGATTGAGAGTTGCGACGCATGAGAGGAGAACCCTTCTCATGCAGTCTTGAGCAATATTGCTGTGGTGAGGTGGAAACCACAGAAGGGTGCTTTACTGTGGAATAGGGGTGTGTGCTGGACTGAGATGACCGCAGCCTGAGACTTCACAAAGAGAGATGAGATTTTTCTCCAAATGATACTCCAGGTCGAGCAGAAGGGAACCTTTTTAAGACCCAACCTAACGTCACGTGGTTGTCTTTTCACACGTATCATTTGGGCATTTTACTGCCACCAGTTCTCATTGGAAAAGCACATGCTCTAAACCCAACACATCCATCATTAAGACTGTGAGATACATGGAACAGAGTTTTGAATGAAGACATTGCTGTGTCTGTGGGGGCAGGTATGAGCTCCATGACAGTAACGAAGGTGTTGGTACTGAGACTGCAGAGGTGATACTGGACTTGCCTCTGTCAGGCTGGGATACCCAACACTCTTCTGGAGTTGTCCCCCTGCAGCTCTCTGCTTGCCGTCCATAAGAGCAGAACTGAAGAGGAAGCTTGTGTCTGGGTTTGCACTCATGAGCTTGGGGAGTAGTCTTGTAGCAGGACTCACATGGTTTTTAGTGTCCGAAGCGAAAAGTTAGATCTCGAAGTGGCTGAAGTCTTGGAAGATGGATTTGAGAACAACCAGATTTTCCTGTTTGTGGCTTTTGTTTCTGCTTCTCCAGCTTAAGGGCATCCAGAAGTGCGTTCAAAACTCCAAGAAAATAGAGCAGATAGGTGAATGTAATGATTCAATTGAAAATACTGTCTCTCAGAGCACAGGTCTCACACTTCCCTGTTTATGTAAAACTTCATAGTTAATATTTTTCTGCCAGCAACAAGATTACGATGCTCCTTAATGCGTAGAAGGAATTACTTCACACAGCCTCTAGGTTCAGTATGTCCAGATGTGGATAGGACTTCTGAGCTTTGAAACTCTTCCACTGAGAGAGGATGTATTCATGACCAGAAGTCAAAAGGGTCTTCTGGGCTGGGACAGGAGAGCTGTTGCTACAGTCGGACCAGTGTGAGAGCTGCCACCCGCTTGTCTATAGGTGTCTCAGGACACAGACAGTTCGTGGCCATGCCTGTATACAGCACGTGCAAAGCCTAGCTGAAACTATGCTCCTGCGCAGCTGAACTGCCTTCCTCAGAGGAGATGATCTGATGGTGTTTGAGTCCAGAGTTTTTTCTGAGGTCTAAAGCAGAGTTTTATATCTGTGAAGATAAGAATAAACTCCTGCCCCTTACCACTGGAAATCTGCCAGTCAGCCCCCCAAGCAACAGTGGCTGCAGAGTGGGTAGCGAGGAAGTGTGCTCCGAGGGTGCCATGGACACTGTCGCCACAAAGAGGAGAGGTCATGATAGCAGAAGAAAACAGATTTGTGAGCGTTGGCTTGATAATAGCAAGTCCTTCTGGCTCTAGTTCTACCTAATACAGGTGCCCGTCAGAGCAGTTTCGGCCGTCTGTGCTGTCTGTGGTGGCCATGTGTGCAGTGTCCATTGGGTGTCTGCAGAGGAGCGAGAGGAGAGGCACAGAAAGAATTGGTCTGAAAGTCCAAGATCCAAAGCTGGACTTAAGGGGTCTTTTGAAAATCTGTTTATGGAACTGCTCTGGATCATAGAGTCCCTACTCTTGGAGACACTGACTCTGTTACAGAAAATGAAGCTGAACAGCTGCAATCTCTCATTGACAGGCTCAAGCACAGGGGACCTTACACGTCCTTTGAAGTCACGCACATGACTTGACCTTTGACTTGACCTTTGAAGTCGCGCAAGTGACTTCAGAAGACCTTGGTCATGCAAAGTGAGAGCAACTTGGCTTTGAAGTTTGTATCTGGAGGGATTCAAATAAGACTGAAAGAAGGCAAAAGTTAACGAGGGAGTGGGGGAACAAATTTGAAGGATGATCTTGTTAAGCACACATTTGAAAAGGTGATGACAAAGAGTAACTTCCAACTCACCTGTAGAGAGACCAAGAAGGAAAGGACACTTCTGTCACACATATGCAGCATGGACAGAGCTGAGGTGTCAGCCTGGCCATCCTGCCACCTCGTGTGCTCAGATGTGTGCCTGCCTGCAGCTCCAGTGTGCGTAACGGACGGTTCTCCAAAGAAGTGTTTTTATCAAGTACATACTGGAGTAGACCTTGGTACAAAGCTTAAATTAACCCACAGCACAGTTCAGAAATGTGACAGCCGTGATAATTATTCTTGGGGCTCTCTCTTCACAGCCTGTCAGAGAAATCTGTTTCTGTCTTTCCTTTTCCAGTGTATTGCAAATGACTTGTTCTTGGCTTTCTGTCCCTTTTCAACTTAGTTTCCTGCTTACTGTTCCATAACTGCTTGGCCCACAAAGTGGCCACAATCATGTAGCACAAATAACAACTGAGAAGTGTTAAGTGATGAAAAATTCCTTAAAATACAGATGCAAGCCTTCAGAGAGAAATAGCTTTACCAGTCAGTCATCTTTAACTTATAAATGCTGAAGTTCAGTCATTGAGGCGCTGGTTATACAGCGTAAAGCTCGTGTACTGCTGTAAATGGCTTGCTTTGCTGCATGGTTGCTCTCCCAACTTTTAATACAGACTCCAAGAAGATTGTTTTCCTCCTGAAGAAGACCTCTCAAGTTGCACAAGTGTACTATAGTATCAACACAACAGGGCAATACAGAGGCATTTATTTCTCAGCTGAGGACCGTAGCTCTGGGGTACTAATTCAGTTTCTGCTGTATGTAGTCATGGTTTAGGTAAATATGGAAAATTTACAGATTGGTCCACCTAGTAAGAATACTGTTGACCTACAAGATAAAATGAACAAATGTTTGTATTACAAGGGAGGTAAAAATGCGAAGTACAGTCCTAAAGCCCAATGTAATCCAGATGCTTTGCAGTTCAATGAAGGTTTGGTAGCATCTGTCATCATCTTGTTTGCTCTTCCAGGTAAATTCCACCGTCTCCGTACTGAGGCAGATGAGCAAACTATTTGGGTTGATAGATTTGTGAGCCACGAAAATTACACCAAGGAGACCTCCGATAATGACATAGCCATGCTGCACTTGGCTGAGCCCGTGATGTATAACAAATACATGCTCCCTATCTGCCTTCCCACCCGCCACCTGGCAGAACAGGAGCTGACGAGAAGTGGGAGGGAGATGGTTGTAACTGGCTGGGGCAGCACGAGTGATGCTAACAACAATTACTCTACTTTCCTCAGTTACATTCAAATCCCCATGGTTCCCCGGAACGAGTGTGCCCAGGTGATGAGATTTGCTGTCTCTGACAACATGCTGTGTGCTGGGACCTTAGGAGACAGAAAAGATTCCTGCAGTGGGGACAGCGGAGGCCCTATGATCACTAAATATAAGGATACTTGGTTTTTGGTAGGACTGGTGAGCTGGGGTGAAGGCTGTGGAAGAAGGGACAAATTTGGAGTCTACACCAAAGTTAGTCAGTATCTGGAGTGGATCCAGCACCACATAGCTGGGATGTCCACTTCTTAGAAGGGCTGACTCTGATACTGAGAGTCTGGAATATTGTGACTATGTGCTAGTGACAGTATGCGGTGTAATGTACTGTCAGATCGTCAGTATTAAATATTGAGTACATGTTAACCTTGTGTACTGTTTTCTTTGGTACCTGGTATTTTTTTACTTTTTTTTTTTCTTCCTTTTTTTACATTGTTTACATTGGTTAGTTTCCAGATTACGTTGTTTATTTGTGATATGGTCCTGCTTAGGCCCATACAAGCAAGAAACAACACCCTGTTACGCTGAGATGCTGCACAGCATTGTAGAAAACAAGATAGTTCGTGGTCAGACGACTCCATCTTTGAAGTGTAAAATGACCAAACTGGTTGGAGTGGGGGGCAGAGGGGATGAGAAAAGTGCTTTAAAAATCAATGTAGTAATACAGTTCTGTCTTTTCAGCTTTACTGTAACATGTTATCCAGAATAATTGTTTTGGTTTGCTCTGTATTTGTATAATTTTTCTTTCAACACAATGTTAATAATCACTGCTTCCACTTATTCACACCTTGCTCCATTGCTCACAGATTAAGTCAATTCAGCAGGTCGCTAGAATTTCTCCATATCTTCTATTTCTTGCACTCTCAGACTTCCTTAAAAGTCAACAGAAATTCTGCTGTTACTAAAACAAAAAAAGATGTTTAATTCCAAACTTTCGCATGCTCTATTTATCCTATGATCTGTAAATCTCTTCTAATTAGCAAGCTAAGCAAACAAGATTGATCATGCACGTTCTAGTGAGCACAATCAGCTGCAGGCTATATTACCATTATTAATACTTACTGATATATATATATGTGTCTCTGTGTGTGTGTTTGCATCTGCATCTATCTGTCTGTGTGTCTGTCAGTAAATAAAACAAAAGATACGCTGTGCCAGTAAGTTCATAGGGAGTAGCGATAGTCAAAATGAAGTTTAATGGAATCACGATTTATGTTTGTTTTTAATCTTAGCACTTAAGTCTGCTAAATATAATTAATCTTATAGAAAAAAGGTGAAACCAACTCTGCTGTAGTGATACGTTTCCAAGATCTCAGTCAGGATTTGGACCCGTATTTGGATCAGTGAAGAACATCAGTCTGCTCTTGTGATGAGACTGTTAAATGGAAAAAACCTCAGGTACAGCAAAATTATATCAGAATTTGTAAGAAATTTAATATGCTGTCAGCAAAGAAGTTTAATGCCTGTTAAACTTGTGGACCTAGTCTTGTTGACCTACAAGCTGCTTACATGCTTACTAAGCAAGCACTGAAGTTGATTCATGCATGAAAGAAGTAACAGGCCAAGGGCTTCGTGTTGAAGGTAAGCTGCAACTGAAGTCAGCCATCTTTCTGTGTCGCTGTCTCTCTCTTTTTCTCTCCCCTCCCCCCTCCCCTTCCATTTTTCATTTGGGACTGGATTTGAGGATCAACGAATGTTAAAGAATAATGCTTTAAACAGCAGCAGCCTTCCAGCCAGGGCCTGCACCAAGAATACGTGTTTCTGAGAAGGCTGAGGTTGCTAGACACCTTGAATTACAAGGTAAAACATTATTGTGTTCAAAGCCAGTAAAACATGGGTCTAATTAAAGACAGAAATCATAATGTCAGTGGATAGCTGTGACTAGTGCAGGGCAGTATTTGCCTTCTTGCAGGTGACTGCTATGGATCCTCCTGCACACTCACAGCTCTGCAATTTCAACAGATGTTTACAGAGCAGCTTGTGTAATTTCCGGATCAGTTGGTCTTACCTACATGAAGGTGATGGAGTGTCAGAAATCTTCTCTTAAAAATTCCAAATTTTCCTGAAGAAAATTGTTGCAAAGAAGTGGCTTTTATTGTTACAGGATGTTTTTAAGGACTTAAATACACACGTGTGTGCGCATGTAGAAACACACAATTTTCTTGTGATTTTGCATTGCAAATGTGTTTCATAGAATCCAGAAGGTTGTCTCTTCTTTGTCAATATTTGTGACTGGTTAATGATCAACCTCTTGACCTCATGGCTGTTCCTGGTGTACATCCAAATCTCTCTCCTGTCTTCCCCTAAAAAAAATAAAGAAAAAAGTGAGTATAATTGCATGGTTCTGTGTAATGTGAATGCATTCTGGATGCTGTGGTTTTGGAAAATGACACAGATAGCAAAGAGGTATGTGCTGTCGAATCCTGGTCAATTATTTAGCCTGGGAAGAAATATGAAGAAATACAAACTTCTGTCTTGTAACTTTTACTGCCAGGTCTGTGGTGGTTGGTTCCTCATTGGAGTTTGCACGTACGGTCTTACTTGACAGGACCCTCAGTAATTACGCAGCAGCTGCAGTCATTAGCAACTGCTGGCTGCAGTGTGCAGCTCAGCCCGCAGCTGGGATCCTGCGCAGTTTAAACAAGGCTGTCGCTGGAACTGCATCCTGCTCAATTTAGGCCTGATCCATACCTCCAGTGTCCATCATAGTGTTTTCATGACTTTTGGGGGCTTTGGATCAGATCCTGCACCGCATCCTGGCCTAGGTCAATCTCTGCACGTTGCCTTGCAAACTGTTGGGATTCCTGTGGTAGTGTGCAGCATCGGTGCGGCTTGGAGAAACAATGAAAATCGGATCAAAATGAACTTTGCTTTCTTTCTCCCTTTTTCTGTCCTCTTGCTTCTGTTTGTTTGTTGTTTTTGCAGGCTAATTCACCCTTGTTTTTGTGATAATACACTGATTTCATTCTCCTTTCCCTCTGAAGGACATCAAAAATTGGAGTATTCTGAATGCTCACTAAAATGGAGAGCAGTTCCTCACTTGTGATGTTTCTCCTACTGATGTGGTCCATCAACAGCAGCTGTCCGTTTTCATATTCAGGTTGGTACTTCTGAATTACATTTTTAACTGGTCTTACTGTCTTAACTGGTCTTGGCATTTGAACTGAAACTACATTCATTGAGAGTCTTGGCATTTGAACTGAAACTACATTCATTTTCTGAACACAAAGTCCTCTAGGCTGAAGAAGCACTCCTCAAAATGCAGAAGAGAAAAACAAATATTAATGTATATTTCCAAGAGAAATCAGCCTTTCTTAACTATCCTGTTGAAAAGTATTCTCCTTGTGATGTTGAACCCAAAATTTAAATTATTTTTGCATGGCAGTGTTTTCAAATTTGGGAAGCTAAAATTAGGGGCTTCTAACATGTGTTCTTGGAACTTATGTTGATTATACTACAACTACTACACAAGGTTTGGAAGTGGCTTCAGAGAGCTTTAAAACAGGCGTGAGAATGCACAGGATCTCACGACTCATTATGGCTGGGCCCGCAAAGAAGAGGAAGAGCTGGTATGTGCAAACCAGAAGGCTTTACAACAGCTGTAGCCTCTCGTGATGGTACTTAAAATAGGTAAATCCTTTAAAGATGATGCCAGAACTCAAGGGGTGGTGAAGGGCAATTTCACTGATATAAGTGAAAGATGGTTTTTTCATTATCCATCCAAAGCTTTTATCAGCTAAAAGATTTTGTCGGCTCTAATTGCCTACAAATGGAGCAATTTAATTTGACTCTAGAATTTCAGTCATTGCTATAGATACCAATCCTGCAACTGCAAAGAAACCTGTGTCTTTATGGTCCATCTCCAACATTGAGTTCTTTGTCCGAGGGTTTTGACTTGCCTAGGACACTAAATCATGACTAGGAAAACAGAGTACTGCTAAATGAACTGCTGTTTGAATTTTAATAGGCTTTGCTAGCATTGCAAAGTGAGCTTGCTTCTTAAACCAGTTCTTAGCAGCAGTTTTTCACAATCGGATGGATGGGGTTTGGATATAGGGCCACTCTTCTGGAGATGTAACAAAAAGATAAAAACCTCCATCTGCTCTAAAAAGTGACTCGGGGCTCAACTCAGTCACTGCACGTGAGTGTCTGGAGGTGCTCGAGGTGGCACATGGTATCAGTACATCCAGAAGGGCTGAGTGAGCCCTCGTTTTCCTTCAGAGCATCCTGGCTGGAAAATCCTGGGAGCACTGTGCTTCAGCTGGAGATGCCGTAGCAAAGACTCGCTGTGGAGCAGCAGGGGTATGTGGGGAGGACCTTACTGCCATATTCCCACTTCTGGCCACTCCTCCCTTAATTTATTGGCAGTAATAGTTCTTAAGACATTGTGGCAGGAGGGCAGATAGCTTAGTGAAGTGAAGGTGAGATGAACTAAATATAAGCACAAAATGGACAATTTATGTATTTCTTTTAATGAAGGAGCGGTGTTTGTCCTATTGTAGCCACAGTAGCTGGCTGGAAAGCACTGGGTCTCTGGTACTGAATATCTAACAAACCTGACACCAAATACAAACCAATTCCTGCTTTATTTCCACATGCACCCACAGCCAGGCAACTAATAATCATAGTGAATTGGGAAGGTTAGGCAGAAAAATATAACCAGCCTTCAAAGAAGAAGCTGCCATACTTGAGTCTTGTGGAATAAAAAAATATTTCTGCGCTACTCTGTGTGTCTCAGTAGTGGGTCTTTTGATCCACTGAAAGAGAGCTTAAACTATTACTGTCTTTTGTTGGAACACAGACTAGTTTTATTTCCTTTGGGATGTTTATATAGATTCCACCCCCCCCTTATTTATATTGTTTACCCAGCTGAAAGCATGTTACTGTAATGATGCCAGTTTGTGGTCTTCCAGTATCATTGACTCTTCAATTTTGTTTTTCTAGTGTTTATGAGAAAAGACAAAGCACACGAGCTGCTGAAAGTCCATAAACGTGCTAACTATTTTCTAGAAGAGTTTCGTCCAGGGAACTTGGAGAGAGAATGCAATGAGGAAAAGTGTTCATTTGAGGAAGCTAAGGAGATCTTCCATTCCCAGGAGAAAACGGTGAGAAACTTTACTTTAGGAAAAAGAGAGGAAAGTTAACAGTGGGCTGTAAGTAATCCTTCCCAAGCCACCTGGCATGGCTCTGACAGGCATGTGCCTATGGATTCTGCAGTGTGGGACTCAGGATGGGTGACTCAAGGCACTTGTGAGATCTCATTTTCTAAGCGAGCGCTCTGTTTGTTGTGTAAACATTAAACAAAATTCTGTAAAAGTATCCAGACCCTGTTTCTGTGGGAGCCTTGATCCAGCAATGTGATTCTGACTTTTTCAGAGGTCACCTTGCTTGATCAGACCCCTCCAAATACAGAGGAGGAGCGCCTCTTTCCCAGAACCTGCTAGCGTCCAGCTGGGAAGCAGGGCTGCAGGCGTTCTGCCAGGGACCTTCTGCTGAAGCAGGAGTTTGAACTGCAATTTTAGATGGAGGTGCCTCATTTCTCTTACATGTAGCCCGAGTTGCTTAGGTGATGTCTACCACAGCAGGCAGTGCAGCGCAGTAGAAATGGCTCTTTGGAGTGAAGTGGTTGGCGCCGAGGCCTCTGCATTGACTTGTTGTGTAGGGAGGAGGGGACGTCACTTGAAATTCTTAGGCTGGTGCAGCAGACCTTTCACTGGCTGGAGCATTTGTGGATCTCAGCTTTCAGGTTAGTTTTCGTTCCAGTAGAACCCAGTTTATGCACTCCGTGACTGGTCTATGATGCAGACAAAAACGAGCTGCATGGTCATGATCAGGAGATCAGCTCTGAGAATGTATTTTTTAGGGTTCTAACCAAAAAGTTATTTTACATGCACCCTAAAATACCAGTTTTCTAAATTATATCTTAAGTAACCAATGCAACCACTTACTGACTGTTTTCTTCATTTGTGATTTCTTCTTGCAGATGGAGTTTTGGTTTAATTACAAAGGTAGGTAAAAAAGGAATTTTTAAAAAATCTATTTCTTGCGTTCCTACTGCGTATGAAGAGTTACGTGGCAGTCTAAAGCCAGGTTTCTCTTAATTCCTGGAATTACACTGTGCCTTGTTTCTTCTTCTTAGGTTTAAATCCGTGTAGTACAAATCCCTGTAACAATGGTGGAATTTGCAAAGTAAGACACTACAATTACTTTTGCATCTGCCCCCCCAGATTTGGAGGAGACAACTGTGAAAAAGGTGAGTACAGCAACAGACAGACAGACATTCATTGTGAAGGAATGGTTAAGGCTGGAATTTGCTCCTTGGGTGCTTGAGCTGAACCTTTGCACAAGCTCACTGAGCTTATCAGTGGCGACTTTACCTGTCTGGTACAGATGGGGTCTGTTCTTTAAAGATTCATACATTAGAACAGTGTTTTGTTACATGACACGTTGAGGCACATGGGAATCACGTTGTGACAGCAGCTGCAGTTCTGGGCTCTGCGATCATCTGTGCAAGCCCTGAGGAAGGCACGGGGCCCTCTCCCATCTTTCCCCAAGAAAGGACAGGGAATTGCCTCCTCTTATCGCTTCTAGTGACTCCTGCCTTAGACACCCGCACTGGGGATCTGTCATGGTGAGGCCCTGTTCTTTTTATAATTTTATTGAGTAAATGCCTCAAACAAATTATCTAAACCTTAGTGTAAATTAAAAAAAAACATATTTATGTTGTAATATATGAATGATGAAAAATAAAGTAGAAAAGCTACGTATCTCTTACCAGATTTTTGGTCCTCTGAAGTACTGTATCCAGTTTGCAAATGACTGAGGTGTGAAATTACAGCAAAAACCAAACTGACATGGAAACTGTGAATCATAAGTAATTTTTTTCCCCCAAGTGAGCTTTTGTTGAGCTTTTCTTTTTACAGGAAGCCATTGAACACTTTTTTAAATGTAACAATGCATAAAAACCTCAGTCAATTTCTCGCAGACTTGGCTGCCACCAAAATGCCTAGTACTTGAACTGTGTCATGATATACAAGATAAGATGTGCAGACGGATCAGAAGCGGATGCGTTTAGAAGTGTTTGCTCTCCCAGGCATTTTCTTGCCCCCTGCTCTGCAGGCACAAAGGCCTCGAGCCCAGCTGTGGCCTCAAGGCAAGGCTGGCAAATAAGAAAATGGTAGAAACAGGAAACAACAATAGACATAAGGCAACGTGCTACAAATCAGTGTGGTTTTCTCGAACCGTAAGAGGTAGTTTCTTCTGTTTCCCTGTGAGATTTCAGCAGGTTTTTTTTCCCCTAGTTTCTTTCATATCCTAACAGTGCTCGAAGCTGTGCGCTGCTCAGGGATCCGTGCATAGGCACGACCGAGTGGCTGCCTGTGTGCTTCCATTGCAGAGAAGCTGGAATGCTGGTACAAGAACGGCGGGTGCTGGCAGTACTGCAGGGACAGCCGCAGCGCCTTCCACGTGACGTGTTCCTGCGCAAAGGATTACGCCCTGCATGAGGACGGGAAGAGATGCGTGCAGGCAGGTAAGGCGTGGGCAGCTCAGGGCTACTGCAGGGGAAGAGCAGATTCACCAGCACTTTCCTTTTCAGTGGTCGCCAAGGAGCTACACATGTTGTAGCTACTGCAGCTCGCGCTTGGCATGTGGGAAAGATGTTGCATTTATAATGTTTTGTTTATTTATTTTAAATTCTTCTTGATCAGGTGTCTCTCTAATCCAGTGCCCCCATGAGCATGTACTGGGTAGAGGAGCAGTCTGGGGTGGGCCGGTTCCTTCTGACAGCAGCACAGACTTAGATCAACTTATGAGTTATGAAGCTAAACCACACTGTTAGGAGGCAAGGAGACATGAAAAAGGCCTTTAAAACTTTGTGTTCAGGTGTCCTGTCACAAGGGCAGCACTGGGGTTGGATTCTGTCCTGAAGAGAGCCCTGGGCAGACTGCTCCTGGAGCAGCCAGCCATGGCAGCTGCCTGTGGTTCGGAAAAGACACAGCTGTATGCTGTTTCTCAGTGATCAGCTCTACACACCTTGGCCAGGGTGGGCGGCAAAAGCAGAGTTTGGTATCAAGATGTCAGAGTTGTTCCTAGGCTCTTACAGGAGGGTTGAATCTCATTTTTGGACAGGGAAAGTGCTGCTTTTGTGCTGGAATTTGACGTGACACCACGCACCCAAAACACAAATCTTTATTTCTGTCTTTCCTCCCTCCAGCACGGTTTCCATGTGGCCTGATTAAACCCAGACAGGCTTTGGGGGAAGAGTGGCTGGGGCAGAAAAGGCTCCCGAGGGGACTGCATGAGCACGGGGATGAAGTGGCCAAGTGGAATGAGAGCACGGCGGGCACAGTTAGGCAAATGGAGCTGGAACAGAGTGCTGGTGAGGAAAACGAGACCGTAAAGGATGCCTTTGGGCAGAATATGCACACGGAGAGTGACGCTGGACAAACTGAGGTGGCAGGGGATGCTTCGAGCTGGAACAAGACACTGGTGGACTCTGTTACCTGGAAGCCACTGGGGGATGGTGCTGGTGGGCAGGAGGCAGGTGTCCCTGAGCATGGTGGGGCACTGGAGGGGACTGGAGTGCCCAGGAGAGGCCCTGCATGGAGTGAGCCAACCCAGGGCCCTGCATGGCAGAAAGAAATGGTGGAACATGCTGCTGGGCAAAACCAACGAGATGAGGGTGCTGGCCAGAACAAACCAGGGGCTGTTCAAACCCTGCATGATGGGCTTAATCAGAGCAGCGACTGGGGAAATGTTTCAAACACACCTCAGTTCGTCCAGGTAAACATCAGCGCTACTTTAGAGCACAACGACTCCAGGATAACTGGAGGAACTTTGTGTCACCGTGGACATTGTCCCTGGCAGGTAATACTTTTCTTTCAGTCTGGCCATAAATACCACACCTGAATGTGTTCTGACCTTACCATTACTGGTTCCATCTGGAGCAGAGTTCATCAGTCAGTACAAAGTTTTTTTCAGGTCCAGGTCAATCCAACCACATGTATTTCTCAAACTTCTGCAGGCCTTTTTGATGATGCCTACCTTAGTTGCCTCATTTATCATTCTTCCCCCTGTCCTAGATGTACGTGCTTGTGTGATCTCAGCTTAACGCTTTCTCTCTTAACTACATCAATCAGATCTGCTCCGTTAACTCACGTTCTTTGTTTCTAAATGTTCTTGGTAAAAAGCTGTGCTTCTGACTTCTTTGGAATGGCTGGTGATTTTTTTCACCAAATTTTTTCTATGACCAGGTGAGATTCTTCATTAGAATGCTGGGCTTTTCATACTTGTTATGGTAAGGAAGCTAAAACTGAGAGGGCTCTAATGTGAAGGCGAGTGGCATGTGGCAAGTAGCGGAACCTCCTTGAAGTGTTTCTCTTATTTCCACTGTCTTGCCTTTTTTTTTTTTCCTGTCCTTATTTGTTACTAATTTTCACTTATTTATATTGACTCTGTTTTGTCAGGGTACTACTGTTGTTTCTGGGCTTGTGCATAGGAAGTTAACAGACTGATCTAGAGAAACTCAGGTTACTGTCCATCTATTTTATTGCTGTCACACAAAAAGACTGTCCCATTCTGCACCTCAGGAGGTATTTTACAGGTGAAAACAAGTAGGCTGCACCTGTGCGGACCACGCAGTCGTTGTGTACTCTCACAAGCTGAAAAGTCACTACTACTAAATTGTGTGGGTTTCTGCCATCTTACACGCTTCCAGGAGGAACACCAGCTGCTTTCCTTTTGCTTAAGTGAGTTGTGAGAAGGGAATGTAGTCTGAATGCTGCCTAACCTATACAGTTTATTCTAGAAATAAAGAATTAACCATCAAGAAAGTTTACAATTTCCATTACATCAGGAATTTGTAATTTTTTTTTTTAAAGGGGTTTGCAAACCCTTTCCATTCTAGTTCTTCTTAACCTAAGACAGAATTCTCAGGTAATTTTTCTTTGCTACTTTTCGATGTTTTGTTTTAGCACTACTGAACAGAATTAAAAGCATCATCAGTACATAGAATTAAGTCAAAATGACTTATGTAAAACACGACATTACTCCAGGAACTAGACCAAGGTAGGTGGCCACACTGCGTCACACCTTTTTCCTCTGTTTATTCACTAAAAACTACAGAGTACCAAAATTTAACCTTTTCCTTCAGTTTAGCTCATGAAGTTACAGGTTCAGGGAGGAGTTTATTTGAAGAGATGCTGAGGCATTAATGGAGCCTATAATTTTGAATAGACAAGACAAACATCTAACACCGAGCAGCATAAGACTGTTTTTACGTCTCCATTTCCTATGCTGTAGATCATTCTAAATTTTATTACAAATAAAAGGAAAAATAACAAAGTTTCTGAATCACCACTCTGACTTGCACTTGCCCTTGACAACTGGGAAAGTGAAAAACTCTTTTCTGTCCCTTGTTCACGCAGACAAACACCACTCTCATTTTTAACCTGGGCCAATGAAACACTTGCCAAGGAAATGATGCGTACCTGACGCACCCGGTGACACATCCTTCATCTCTCACACAGGTTTTGATCCGGAACAGTAACGACATCGGTTTCTGCGGAGGGAGTTTAATCAGCAGTCGCTGGGTGGTCACTGCCGCTCACTGCCTTGATCTCGTCAGACCACACCATGTCACCGTAGGTGAGTACAGTTTGCATATTGTGTGAACACAGGGGCAAGCTCGCTCTTAAAACGCGCCGTGCATCGCACGCGGACACAGTGTGGTGTGGTGGAGAAACGGACACGCATCCAGCCTGACTCAGATTGACAGAATGCTTCGTTTTCTTGGCAACAGTTAAGTGCAACGGGGCTCCAGCTGATCCCTTTGGTTTTTGTGGAGCACCTGGGAGCATAAGGCACAGATTTTTCTGTCGCCCGTTTTGGCAAACTCATGGTGCATGGAGACTGAGCGCATTTCAGGGTGCACATCTACTGATAGAAAGATTCCTGTAGGTGATGGTCTGCTCTCAAGACTTTGGGTTTTGAATCAGCCTTGAGATTAGTTTCCTGCTGTGCTGCTTGCTTCTCATTGCCTGTAATTGCCTGAGAGCAGCAAGCCCCTCTCTCTCTTGTAAGGTACAACACCAGCGGTTGCAGTAGCAGGAATTGGAACTTTTTGCAGCAGAAACGCTGCAATAAACAGTCCTGTGCTTGAAACCTCCAGAAAGAGAGGTGTGCAAGAGGAGAGAACCCAGTACAGCAGTGGGTAACTGACTGGAAACGATTCTTCAGCCTTAGCCATGGCTGCATCTCAGGGCTCATGTCTGTTCCTGAGGGGGAAAATACAAAGTCCCATGGGAGTTTAGACAAACTGTTCCAAATACACTGCTTACTAAAAAGCATTGGCAGCGTTTATGGTAAATCTCTCCCCCAGAAGGCCAAACCTCTGTGCATATCGATTCATCCAGTGGACAGCTTTGGTTTTGCCCTTAAAGAGCACAGCTTGGTGATTTGCAGGATGACACCTGCAGCGTAAGAAGAGGTTGTTACAGAGTATGTTTTGGTTTGGTCCGCGCCGCCTTGGGATGAAAGGTCAAAGCATTAATTCACTCTCCTTTCTGTTCTCCCATGGCGATACCGTACAGTTGGTTTAATGTTTTAACTTGTCGTGACTGCAGGAGACTTTGACAAGTATCAAAGAGAATTCCAAGAACAGAAGATTGATGTGGAACGGAGCTGGACGCATCCACATTACGATTCAAATGACTACAACAGCGACATCGCCTTGTTGTACTTGAGCAGTGATGTCATTTTTAATGAGTACGTAATTCCCATCTGCCTTCCCAGCCCCAACCTTGCCGCCCTGCTCGCTGAAGAGGGAAGAGTCGGGATGGTGAGTGGATGGGGTGCCACTCACGCCAGAGGTTCGACTCTGCGTTTCCTCATGAAGGTCCGGCTGCCCATCGTGAACATGGAGACCTGTCAGCGGTCAACAGACAGGCTCGTGACGGACAACATGTTCTGCGCAGGGTACAGCACGGAGGGCGCAGACGCCTGCAAAGGGGACAGCGGTGGCCCGTTCACAGTGTCTTACCACAACACGTGGTTCCTCTTGGGGATTGTAAGCTGGGGCGAGGGCTGTGCTGAAAAAGGAAAATACGGTGTGTACACGAGAGTATCCAACTACATCCCGTGGATTAAAGAGATTGTTGAAAGTGTAGCAGATTCGGGAAACTTTTCCATCAACTTTTCTTAATGCCATCTTTAAAAACAGGGACAATTCTATTATTACAGTCTGTTTCAGTCTTACTACGCAGTTCCAGTCCTTAATGGTGTAAAATCAAGATTATCTTCAAAGAAATTTTGAGTCTGTTTGCCATAAATGGTTAAATTGCTCTTTCAGGTATTACGGGCAAAATGCTTGTGAATAATGTGTCGGGGATGGACACACACACACACAGAGTGGCAGGCACGCACCCACACAGAGTGTCGGGGATGGACACACACACAGTGTGTCGGGGACACAGTTGCGGGGAGACACACGCGCGCGCACAGTGTCGGGGACGGCCACACAGAATGTCGGAGAGACGCACACACAGTGGCCGACTCACAGAGTGTCAGGGACACACATACACAGTGGC